GGGGGGGGAGAGGAGGGGTGGCACGGTGGCTGTCCTAAAGTGCAGGGTGAGCATAAATGGGGAAATGAGTGAGTGAGGGAGGGAGGAGAGGAGGACGGGTGCAGGTCAGCGCCGTCGGACAATGGACGTTCTGCTGGTGGGGGGGAGGCCGAGGGTCGGAACGTGAGCAGTCAGCAAGCTGGGGTCGTGACATCGCAGTGTCAAACAAACAAACTACTGACACTTACAAATACAGAGGCTGCACAGGGCTATTCTTAAACACACACAATGTGGCACACAGTGTGTGAGAGCACAAACACACTATTGCATTGAAGATGTCACTTTGATATAAACATTTCCTTGTGTAAAAGACCGGATCAAGTCTTGGTGGGGGGAATCTGAGACATTTAGTGAATTGGCGTCCATACGCAAGCATGTGTGTGTACATGCAACTGAGCGCGTGCAAGATTGAGCACTACATACTGAGATTAAAGTCAGTGAAAGAGTTGCCATCGCTCATGCAGGAGACCTTTGGTGTCACCGCAGCCGAGTGACGGATAGATTTGTCATTTGGACAAGGATTACTTTATTATACGGACAGCTCCGGAGAAGATGTATTAGGGCCTGTGCAACTGAAGTGAACTGTGGCTCAATCAAAGCAAAGAGCCCATAAAAGACACAATATCTACTCTGCATGCAGGTAAATACACTAGCTTACGTTATATCTGCATCAGCTGCAACCAACACACTTACTGAATTAATTTTGGCAAGTCCCCCATGCAGCTTCCAGCAGTCAGGGTTCATTAAGTTGCTGGTGGGGGAGAGAGACCCCCTGATAGCGGTTAAAGACGAGTGTGTTCAGCGTACAAGGAGGGAACTGGTTCAAAGGAGCACATCACTGCAGCTCCTTAATCAGAAATGGCAGGGGTCAGCCTGGACAGACATGAGATGCAGCGAGAAAAATGTGTGTCTGAGCATATAAGTGTTTATAAGGGTGTGTGTGTGTGTGTGAGATGTAGCGAGAAAAATGTGTGTCTGAGCATATAAGTGTTTATAAGGGTGTGTGTGTGTGTGTGTGTGTGTGTGTGTGTGTGTGTGTGTGTGTGTGTGTGTGTGTGTGTGTGTGTGTGTGTGTGTGTGTGTGTGTGTGTGTTTGT